TATTTAGCAATTAGATGAAGAAGAAATAGCTTAGTTAACTAATTATTTTGTATTTATGTATATTATTTAGCAATTAGATGAAGAAGAAATAGCTTAGTTAACTAATTATTTTGTATTTATGTATATTATTTAGCAATTAGATGAAGAAGAAATAGCTTAGTTAACTAATTATTTTGTATTTATGTATATTATTTAGCAATTATATGAAGAAGAAATAGCTTAGTTAACTAATTATTTTGTATTTATGTATATTATTTAGCAATTAGATGAAGAAGAAATAGCTTAGTTAACTAATTATTTTGTATTTATGTATATTATTTAGCAATTATATGAAGAAGAAATAGCTTAGTTAACTAATTATTTTGTATTTATGTATATGCAATTAGATAAAGAAGAGTTAACTAATTATTTTGTATTTATGTATATTATTTAGCAATTAGATGAAGAAGAGATAGCTTAGTTAACTAATTATTTTGTATTTATGTATATTATTTAGCAATTATATGAAGAAGAAATAGCTTAGTTAACTAATTATTTTGTATTTATGTATATGCAATTAGATAAAGAAGAGTTAACTAATTATTTTGTATTTATGTATATTATTTAGCAATTATATGAAGAAGAAATAGTTGAGTTAACTAATTATTTTGTATTTATGTATATGCAATTAGATAAAGAAGGGTTAACTAATTATTTTGTATTTGTGTATATTATTTAGCAATTATATGAAGAAGAAATAGCTGAGTTAACTGATAATTTTGTATTTATGTACATTCTTTAGCAATTTGATGAAGAAGAAATAGCTGAGTTAACTAATTATTTTGTATTTATGTATATGCAATTAGATAAAGAAGAGTTAACTAATTATTTTGTATTTATGTATATTATTTAGCAATTATATGAAGAAGAAATAGCTGAGTTAACTAATTATTTTGTATTTATTTATATGCAATTAGATAAAGAAGAGTTAACTAATTATTTTGTATTTATGTATATTCTTGAGCAATTAGATGAAGAAGAAATAGCTGAGTTAACTAATTATTTTGTATTTATGTATATTATTTAGCAATTAGATGAAGAAGAAATAGCTGAGTTAACTAATTATGCAGTGGCTATGACAGATGATTTAGATTTTAAAGATGATGGTTATATAGAATTAGTATTAAAAGTTTTAGGGTTAATGTGTGATAATCAACACAAGGGTATTCAGGTATGTACACTATCTTACATAGTTTACATAGAAAGTATTGTTGCTCTTCTTATACTTTTTTTTTCTCTTCATAACTCTGCCATGTTGGAGAATGTGAAATGTTTAGTTAATGAGTCTTGTATTTCTTTATCTATGCCTTTATGTACATAACTTACAGATATTATGTATGATGTACAGTATTTTCATTGATGAGCAGATTGTATTGTATAAAATGTACATACTTGACAACTGTTCTTTATGGTAATAGATTTATATAAGCTTTAAAGCTTGTTTCCAAAACCATATGTTTATCTATATGTATATTGTAATATTTGTAATTCTTGAATAAATATTGTTTAAAAAAAAAAAAAATGTTCTTTATTTCAGAATTATCTAAGAGAACAGCCTGATAATATTAAATCAGTCAATTTAGTAGCAGAAACCACTAAGTTTTTAAGTATACTATATTCCAGTGTAAATAATAATACAATATCATTGATCACAGCTTTATTTGATACCCTAGTTGAATATACTTCGGTAAGTAGAGTACCCTTTAGTTTTGTCAGTATACCATTGTATATTTATCCAAATCGCGAGCTCAAGTCCACAATACCAAGGAAGTATAAAAACATGAAATGAGTCCAATATCCAGCGCGGATCATTCATGAATTACAATGAAAAGAAAATTTTTACAAGGATAACAACTTAGGTCCACGATGAACCTTTCTACCAGCCAGTCCTGGGTCATCAGATTATTGATCAGAATATCTGCACCCATTTCCAGTCAGATCAACAGGAATATTGGGGAGAGATTGGACCAAGCAAATGTCATGTAAATTTCCAACACTTTAACATATATGAAAGTCCTTGCTGAATATGATTTAAGGATATTGATCGCTGTGGTAACTGTTTTATTTTGATTATTACAGGGTAATTTTGCCAATCAAACGGTGGTATTTGACTATAAAATATGTGATTATATTAACCATATATTAAGATCAGAGATCTATAAAGGCTGTGATGCTGAAGAGGTTTGTTATAGTTTTCTATATTATGAGCCCTAGAAAAAATAAACTCCTACTTTCAACACATTGTCTGCAGATAGCAGAAAACGGGTGTGTTTCTAGCTTTTGGAAAAACCGGCAATGAATGTTTGATTTCACTTAGCAGTAAAGCGGTAAAGAAATCTTATTTCACAAAGATAAAAAAGATCTGTCAACTAGATGTTCCTTAGCTAAATTTTTGTCATTGACAGACATTTCTCAGATTTAAGGTGTCCATTCACGGCTAGATCATTAAAGATAATGAGAATGGGCTTCAAGCTTATGAATGATTTATGCATAAATGAAGTTTATATAAATTATTTGTAGGTTCAAACATTAAAGAAGTCAATAGCTATGTTGATTCGAGTATTAACAGAAGAAAATCCACCATCAGCTGTAGATGATGATAATGCACTGTCATTAGTTCAGGTATTATACACAGATTCTTTTCTTAAGAATGATGTCTTTTCTATATTTCTTTCTAGTATTTTTCAAATTTTCTTGTTTTTATTAATTTATAATTTTTCTTCTAAAAAAATCTTCAGTCTAATTTAGTTTTTAAATAGAAAGATCTATATGTATTTCAAAATTTAGAAGCACATTGAAAGCTTTCCAATAAATGTGAAAGCAAAAAAGAAGCTAAAAAGCAATTGTTGAGCTAGACTTAAATCTAGTGCCATGCCAAATGCTAGAGAGCCATTCCTGTTTTTGTAAACAAAGATGCTTTAACATTAAACATTATAGTCAATATTTGGGTGATGTAGAATATATTTAGTATTTTTAGATTTTTTTTAGTCCTTTTTCCAGTTTTACTATTTTACTAATATTTTAGTTTTTTTTTTTGTTTCTTCCCAATCCTTTGTAGAAATCTAGTATGAAGGCAACACCAGATACATGTTCGGTAAATTTTTTCAATATCTTACCGCTAACTCATCTTTGATATGGTTCATTGTGATATTATGGATTATGGTCCCTTTTGACTAATATGGGTCCATTTTGACCAAACCTCTATGTCCATTTTGTTCTGTTTTGATGGTAACCCAATATCTAAATTTAACAAATGTACCTAATATCAACTGTGCTGGGTTTTAGGGGTGATATATTTATCATACTTCTTGTGATGGTGTCCAGTTAACTTCTTCTCTTCTGATCTGTTTATTAACATTAACCCTGGATGATTTTCTGGTCTGATTAACCCTTCTCTCTAACTGATTGTTGTGCATGCACTATCCTTTTTTTAATTCTGTGATTGTCTGATGTTAGAAAGATCTTTAATTGCTCACTTTTCATGTAGTTAGTTTGATTGCAGCCATGCCAAGTCTGATTCTATACTTTCAGAAGTTTGGTATTGTTTTAAAATATTTTCAAACTGAGACAATTTCAGGTCCAAAATAATTATCTGACAATATGTTAAAGTATGACATCAAATTAATTAAATGCCTCATCAAATATTATATGTTATGTTATGTTATGCTTATTGTGCTGTTTTCAACTAGAAGTGATTTTTCCAACAAAGAATAGGGTTTATTTGCTAGTTTTGTCGGACTGTGAAGTTTAGACACACCAAGGAATGAATAAATTTCTGGTATTAGTGTTACTAACTAGTTGAGCCATTGTTTATTTGACTAAATAGAATGATAGTCAATAGTTAAATTTTTCCCCAACTGTTACCATAAACAAATAATGATATTAAGCCTCTCTTAATAGTTTAGTAAATCAAAATTTGCAGATATTTTTGGTAGTTGACTTAACTTTAAAAGTGTATAGATTGTCTTAGTATGACTTTTCATGGATAAACTTATACAGTTTTGTGAACTTGGATTGAATAAAAAAGCACACTTCCATCCTAGAATTTTCTACCAAAATACTCTTTTGAGGCTGATATTCTAATTCATATTAAAATTACTGTAAATTCCATTTACTGGTGAATGTGTGAAGACAGTAAACTGTAGCCACTATTGGGGTGGAATAGTATCGATGTTGCTTCTTTCTTAAGATGTGCATATCAGCTAGTCATATACTGTCATTAGTCCAGTAAGATGCATGAATAAATTGAATATTGTTTATTTTTATAGGAAATATTTGAATACCTTGATACAGATGCATTATCAGCTGTTATGGTGAAGGCGTATAATGATATTCTTGTAAGTAGAAATGAGTTACCTATATCTAGAGTGTCTTTAATCCCAGTAATAACCCATCTATTCTAAACTATGTTTGTCCTGCTGGGGCCGCTCGAATGGTGAGTTCTGCAAGTTCAGGATTTATGGAATCAACAGAACTTTCAATGAAATAGGTTGGTGCAGAGTTCAGGACGCTTTCCACTTGTGCCGAAAAATTAGAAGGTGAAGTCAGAATTCAAAATGGCGGAAAAAGAGATAGATGGGAACATTTTGAATGTGACATATTCATTTTCATACAGTTCAATTAGGGATAGAATTGAAACAGACAGAACCTGTTTAGAACTCTCCAATCGAGCACCACCACTGTCATGTGCTAAGATACCAAATAGAAGAATTATTTGTAGTCTTTTCAGAACATCAGTTATGTTTATCATAGGATCAGTGTGTTTCATTATCTTATGTACCATTAATATACATGTAAATATTATAATTACATATGATATTTACATGTAAATTAAATTCATACATGTATATATTTAACCACTAAATTTCATGTAGAAGATTCCTATTCTAATTGAGTGTCACTATACAAAGTTTGAGTTCATTTATTTTTTTCTTCACATAAAAGATGTCTTAAGCCATTTTCAGAAGCTTTTGCTCCCTCATGAAATTTTTTACAAAACATTTGACCATGAAATTCAATTTTAAGTCTGCTTCAAAAATTTTGGAAACACACCTACTATATCTCATTTGATTTTGCTGATATCTGATTTTGATATCTCAAAATGGCTTAAAATTTACCTTTACTCATATTATTTTAATTCACTTTAATCCTTTTCCTTAACCCTATTGTGTTCTTCAATATGTATACACTATTATAGGAATTAAACGACAGGACATCCAGACATAATGAACAAGAAAATCAGGTATAGTAATGATACAATGCTTGCTGCCTGTTATATATGCATGTGCTTGTATCAATTTAATATTCATAAACTATTACAAAGGTTAAAGGTTTAAATAATTGTTTTGGAAAGTATTATTGTTTTGCTGTCTAACCTTTTAAATGTTGGTAAACTGTTACAAAGGTTAAATAGAATGAATGGTTTCAGAATCTATTTTATGTTATCTAACCTTTTTTTATGCTCTATATGTTGATAAACTGTTACAAAAGTTAAAGGTTACAAGAATGGTTTTGGAATGTATTATTTGTTTGCTATCTAACCTTTTTGAATGCTCAATATATTTTTATAAACTGTTACAAAGGTTAAAAAAGAAGAATTGAATTGGAATGTATTATTTGTTTGTTTTTAAATGCTTGATAAACTGTTTTAAAGTTAAAAAGAAAGGTTATGGAATGTATTGGTTTTGCTATCTAACCTTTTTGAATGCTTTTCATATTGCGTTTATATTGGGATAAAAGGATAACTGTTATAACACATGCTTGCTGTACTTCCCTTGATGCATTTTTATCAAACTAGATAAAAGAGAGAGCTTGGTTAGGTTATGTTATTTTATGTACTGATGATGTAATGTGTTGATGCTATCATATCTTAACACAAACCTAGAGTTTTCTTATCATTATTTATCAAATAATTAACATTTGTTGCTGTGTATTCTATTATAAAGAGACTGCTCAGTAACATATATACCTCTCAGATTTTTTTGCGAAATCTGGGCTCAGCCAAGGACATTCGTTAGTTCATGTCAGAATTTAGGCTATAGTAAATTCGGAATTTGAACCTTCAAATCCATGTGTGCCTAGAATTATCTAAAGTTGAAATAATAACTTGTCTTTTCTTGAGACTCTGCAATATATAGACAAGACATATATAGAAATAAAAAGTGTAATTCCTAATTTAAGATATTTTTGAAGGATTTATTCAATTTTTGTATATTTCTTGTACTTCTGAAAACTATTTGCATAAATTCAAGACTCAAATCAGTCCATAAAAATGGCCAACTTGTCTCTTTAAAAATTTGCAATTTTGTTTTTTCAGACACATACTGATAATTATAATCTACCTAACCTAACCAGGAAAGTAGGTTTTGCCTTTCATCATATATTGTGTAGAATGATAGATTTGCATGGTGAAGAAACTCTATCAAGTAAGTAATTCTTAATCAAAAAACAACATGGCATTCCATTACTGCTTTCTTTACATAAAAATTACAAACTATTGGCATATATTTTCATCTTAATGTCTGTCCACAATTAGTGCAATCTAAAACAGCATATCTCTTTTATTGCTATATGTATCAAATCATCACATGATTGGCAATACTCAATAGTTGTACTAGTATTAAGTGATTTGCATGGTTATTTTGACACCATTCTAGCTATTTCATAGCTCCCTTGTATTTAAGCTCAGAGAGAATCTAATGTTAAAATTTAATTTCAGAAATATGTAAAAATCCAGAAATAACAGAAGCTTGGGAATATTTCAGTTGTAATACATTGTCAATAGAAATCATAAAGGATGATGTTCTACAAAAAATGCATTTCCAAGTTAAAGATAAAGTAAGTTTTGCTTGGTTATAGGTGATGTAAGTTGACACAAGGACAACTCTCAAAAGTGCTGGCCATGGTGTTAGAATTTTTCTTTACCTGGAAGTTTCAAAAATGTGGACCTAATTGCCTAGCAGATGACAATCCAATGACTGTCTGACTAAATATTTTAGAATTTAAAAAGTTCAAAAGATGTACAAGGTAACTTATCAAGTAGAAATGAATGAAATGGAGTTTTTAGTTCTACTTTTCTTGTGTTTAGGCTTATGAGGACGTGTAACACCATTCAGTGTGCAAAGAGGTAAAGTTTACCAGGACAGCAGTTACCTACTACTATGTTTATATTTTCAGAATGTACTGCGTGAAGAAATTAAAGATAAATTTAAATATGAAGTTGATAGATCTAGTCCTAGTAATAAATTACGTGATTTTATGGACTGGTCTTCTGATATTATAGCTGATATACGATACCAAAGAAAAATACATTCTATACCATTAGCTAGATTACTTGTTAAAACCTGGTAAGAAATACTTTAAACTAAGTACAGGCTCTGTTTAAAAGTCAAAAAGTTGTGTGCTTCTCTCAAAGAAATTGTACAAATGTGAATACTCAGTATTAAAGAGATTGTAAAGAGGTTTTCTATATTTATATGTATTTGGAACAATTTTAACATCAATTTGCATTATTTAAATTCTCAGACGTCTGTTGTTCTTGCAATTCACTTAAACTTAGTGATTTACAATTTCACTATTGCAAAGATAAATATCATTAACAGCGCAGCAAAGGTTGAGCATTACATATAAAAAAAATTTGTTGCAAAACCAACTCTTTATTTGATCAATTTTTTATTCTTATTTTTAACAAAAATCCATTTGAAAGCTGTAACTGTAATAATTGTTATTATTTTGTAGGCCAGTGTTGAATGTTAGTGTATTATTTCTATCAGTCATTATAGCTTTAATGATTTTAATTACATGGAAAGCAGATGGTTCAACAACTAGGTAAGTTGGTATAAAATGTATTTTGATGTAGAATTAGTTGATTTTTGTGTTTGCTGAACCAGGATGCAATTACTAACTTACCTTAAGGTCTGAAGTTCAACTGTAGGTTGTAAGAGAGTTCATATTTTTGTGATAGATGTTGAACGTCTACTCAGGCCAAGTTATAGAAACGCTTTCGAACTTTTTCTTACCTTTAGTAGTGTTGAAACTATTTGCCTAGAAGTCAACAGGCGACAAACTAAGATATGACTAAGCTTTTTTAATATTTAAATCTAAATGGCCAAATCACCTACAATGGAGATCAATTTTTTTCATTCATTTTCATATTTTTATTCATTTCAGTACTGTACCAGATACATCCAATTATCCTTTTGCTTTTGAAGCTACATATATATTGGGTGGTATCCATAATTTATTAACCTTCTTAATGATAATAACCTACTTCTTATCAAACCGTCCATCTATACCAACATGGGTAGAAATTAAAAATTTCTTTAAAAGACGGTAAGTGACATTTTTAACTCTATATTGATTATTTAATTTCCCCACTGGCAATTTTGTTCCTGAATAAATTTTACACATATAATATAAACCTCATTCAACATCACTGCCGTCTGTCTGTGGTCCAGGGTTCATTCCCAGCAATTTTTTTAGATAATACCTTCTGAACCTGGTTTCCTCTTGTCAGTGTTGCAAGGCAGAACACTGACATGGAAAAAAAGCGTCTAGTCTTTTGGACGGGACAATATAAAACCCTGGGAAAATTTGCACACTGCATGGCATTTCCGGACCTCATTAGACACGCAGGACGTAAAATTCCATTTCATTTCCATTAGTTTTGCTACCAAATGAAATTAAGATCTATCAGCTGGAAAACAAAAACTATATCCTGTTTCTGAAAAATATTAATAGAAACTGTATATGTTATATTGTAGAGGTATTGGTAAGAAAAATAAAGAAGAAAATGAAGAAGAAATTAAAACAAATCATCTTCAAGCTCGATTGTTTAGTTTCCTCACATTTTATTATCTGGTGAGATATATTATCAAATACAGTGATATTTTATCACATACAGAGATATATTATCACATACAGATATATTTTATCACCTACAGAGATATTGATTGAGATAATTTGACACAATATATTGAAATATATTTCAAATACAGAGATAATTTATCACATAGAGAAATATTAATAAATAAATAATAAATATTTAGTTTAGAGATATTGATTGAGATATTTTATCACATACAGAGATATATTATCACATACAGAGATATATTATCACATACAGAGCTATCAATTGAGATATTTCATCAGATACTGAAATATTTAAAAGATATTTTAATTTCAATATTTTAATACATACAGTAAGAAATACTAATAGAAAGTGAAGAATATGCCTTTTTGTTGTATTGTAGGTATTCCTGCTCTTCTCAATACTTGGGACTATATTTCATGGTTATTTCTTTGCCTTCCACCTATTACATATGGCAATGTTAAATCAACTGTTAAAACGTGTCATTCAAGCTGTAACTAGAAATGGTAAGTATCTTATCACATTTGTTGTGGTCTACTTAAGAATGACTCTCCAATGAATAATTTCACCAACTATAAACTGCAATCTGATCTTTTTTGTTTGATAATAGTTCATTATTGAACAAGTGGCTGTGGTTCTCATAATTTCAATAAAATTTAGCATTTTAAACTCAAAAGCTGGTTGTAATATATAAACAGCTTTGTGATAGTGACATCATATAAAGCTTTAGAATTACCAGAATCACTAACATCAATGGAAAATTAGAATGATGCAAATAGAAGTCAAAAATGGCTGTTATACATGTAGACTAGAAAATCTCTTAACAATCCCTTTAATAACTACCTATATTGTAATTGTAGGGTTATCATTGATATTGGTTGGTCTGCTGGGTTTGGCTATAATTTATATCTATGCTCTGGCTGCATTTGCGTTTTTCCGAGATGTATTAGACAGTAATGATGGTAGACAGTGTAACACTATGATTGAATGTTTTATAACTGTTATTCACCATGGTTTATCAGATGGCATGTACAATGTAAGTATTGTTTGTTTTCCATCAATAGAATCTCAGACTGGTATGATAATAACTCACATTTTGTCATTGTTTCTGTCGACCCATGTAAATCAGGATGGATCAGAATGGAAAATATCATAACTTCCTCAAGAACCATCGCCTACAAATAGGACTGATAGTTTATTGAGAATATTGTTAGCTCTAAGTATAAAACATGTTTTATGTTTCTTTTTTTGTTTAATAAGTTATGTCTGTGTTTATGTTATTATTGTAGACATTAGAAGGTCAGTTATCAGGAGCATCGTTTCCTAGAACAATAGAAGTAGCTGTATATGATGTGACATTCTTTATAATAATTACTACCATTGGTCTCAACATAATCTTTGGTATCATTGTCGACACATTCTCTGAATTGAGAGATTCTAAGGTTAGTCCAAAAAAAAAGTTAATTATAAATATTGATATGGAGTACTTCCACTTTGGTAACCTATGAAGGCCCATTGTTAAATCAGATTTTTAACCCAGTTTTCCCCTGTCAGTGATGCAGTTTGGAGGAGCTGACAAAAATGAATTTATCATTCAGATTGGACAATAAACCTCTGTTCTACAGACTGTACACTTAAAATAATCTCAACAATCCGATATCTAGAAAGAGTTGGCTGGTGTAAATGTCCTGGCAAATTTCTTTTATTGTACCTTGCACTGTTCATCCAAACAGGTGTAGAAAATTAGGATATAAAACTCCATATCATTTCTGGTTGGTTGTACAGTTTGTTCAGATATACAGAAACATGTGTTGTATCTAACTATTTTTTCGGGTTTTTTTCAGTGGCAAATTGATAATGATATGAAATCCAATTGTTTTATATGTAGTAGAGAAAATTATGATTTTGAAAGACAAGCTTTGGTAATATATTTTGTTATTTTTTTATTTTTTTAATCCTAATTTGATATAGTTTTCTTTTCTGTTAGTCTATAAGCCCTATTTATGAATGCATTTAAACTTTTATTTCTTCAAATTGGTATGAAAATATTATATAGCTATCGAACACCTTAACCAGTTAAAGCAACCATTTTGCTCCATGTTCATGTCATAGTAATGTTTGTTATATCCTTCACTATCAACAGTTCCATAATAATATTTCTATTTCTTTATTGATAGGGTTTTTCACATCATGTAAAGAAAGAACACAATCAATGGGCCTACTTGTTTTTCTTCATCTATTTAGATGAGACTAGACCAAATGATTATTCTGCTTTAGAACTATATGTTCACAAAATGGTAAGAATATTTCAATAATGCTTAATATTCACAGATAATTATTTTCACGGCATAATGAATACTGTTATGACACAAAAAGACTTTAGTATTAGTTACTGGTACAAGATAATAGTACTGAATAATTATGCTTATACTGCACACCCATTGGTACTCACGAGTAAATCTGGAAAAATCTTGGTGACTGTTCAAAAAAAGCACTCAGTTCAAACGAAGCAAAAATACTTCAATTCAGGCTTCTCTTTTATATATGCATTGGTATTAATTATAAATAAATTAGTATTTTTTTTAAGTGTAAGTTATAATATAAATATAATTTATATTTCAGCGCTGTAATAATTCCTTGGATTTTTTCCCATTAAATCGTGCTTTAAGTTTACAACATGAAGAAGATAGCAGTGAAAAGAAAATAGAAACTTTAATGAGTCAAGTTGATTATTTAGTCAAGAAAATGAAAGAAACAGTAAGTCTTGAAAGAAAATAGCAGAAAATAAGGGGGGGAATTCTTTGCCTTGAAAGTTAGTCCAAAGCTAACTTTAAAGACCTCATTGAAGAGTGCTTTATTTCATAAAATGACTTTCTTCAACAAGAATATGTTGGTTTTATCTCTCTTAGTGGAGGGAGGTTTGTCCAGGATTTGATTTTGGCATAGGTCACTATAATACCTTCAGATTTTTCAATCAGGTTCTCCATCCCTAACCTGAAAGTTAAGGGTGTAAACACAAAATAGATCAAGATTTTGACTTTTAATCTCAGTTTCCCCTATCCCAGTGATCCTTGTCAGAGGAGCTGACATGGAGAAAGCCTCTAGTTGTTCAGATTTGACAGGAAACCTAAGCCTGTGTGCTAAAGGTTGAGCAAAGAAATTGTATAGCCTTTTTATACAGATTCCAGAGTTCTATACAGAAAAGCCCAAGCTCATGAGTAAGTGAATGCATTGAAAATATCTTTATTTTACAGCAAGTGGAGAAAGAAAAAGATAAAGAAAAACAAAGACAGAAAGAATGGGAAGAAAAACACAGAAAATCTTCTAAAACAAGTGCCTAAATTATGTTATATTATCTGTACATAGTGTAAATATCTCAATATTTAATTAATATTTAACATTCCAAAGTGCATTACGTTACATATCATTGTACACAAATTAAGGTACAAAAAATATTAAGAAATCTTTAAACAGAAATTAAGTATGCTAGATTCCTTTTCCATCCAATTATTTTTACAACTTTTAATGTTTAGTCTTATTTTCTTTGAAATGATGAATTTTAACCAAGCTCAGTGCCAATTTTATGTTTTTAATTCTAAAAATAAATTTTAATTACTAAATATTATAAAAGAATTTTTAAAAATTGTGGTATTGATTTGTGTTGTTCAGTATGTTCACATTGAGAATTTCAAAATAATTTTCTATAAATGTAAATAGTTCTATATTTATCAGAGGTTCTTAAGGAAATCTTGACTGTTTGATTAGGGTAGATAAAGGTAATGGGTAAAAGTGTGATATACTGTGGCTGATTTAATTCAAAAGTTTTTTGGAAAAGAACAGATGCACAAGAAGTAAGTGTCAAATGTGCAATGTCGACTGTGGGGTTTAAAGCATTCCATACCAGTAACATTTAATGATTTCCTGTTTGAAATGGATAAATTTCATCCATATTAGTTTTCACCATTTCCAACATATGTGATGCGATCAGTTGAAATTATGTTAAATCAAATATTCATACATCATTGAAATATATCTTAGTTGCAGGGTTCAATATGAATGACACTAAAGTTTAGTTTTGGCTAATCAAGTTAAATTTTGATTCGCATTTCTTCAAAATTCAGCAACAATTCAAAGGAAATATTGGGTCGCTAAAAGGGGTCATTTCGAAAAATTGAAAACTTCGATGCAATACCACTTAAATTGAACCCTGCTTACTTTAATGTTTCCTATATCAGCCAATAGTTCATAAGGTGTAACAGTTTATTTTTGTATTAAAATGAATTTATTGGTTGTTAAAATATTAAATTTTATATTTGTTGAGAATTGTATTTAGTATATCAACTGTGATATTTTTTATAATAAATTTGTTTGTCTTAATGATCTTGTAAATTTGATATTTTTGATCTTTTATCTGTTATTTCTATAACATATTGATTGGAGATATAGAAAAATATTTTCCTTTCTTTCGGGGTAATTTAAAACTTTGCTCTACAAATATCAGGCATTTTGTAGGACGTATTACAGCCTGTTGTAAGAAAATACTCAGTAACAAGACAGAATTATTTACACTCTTTATTTAAATAGAATATAAATAATATTAATAATAAAATGAACTATATTAATGTACACCATTTAAAATGATTGAAAACAGCTAGTTTTGGGAGAATAGTCTGTACCAACACATAATGAGACTTAGTTTTAAAGGGGCATTCCACTTTTTTGTACAAAGTTTTCATTATCATTATAGCCGAAGCATTTCTAAAGTATGCTATTTATATTTATGTATCTACTTGATCAAACTGAATTTGTTTTAAAAGGGTTAATTATAATTGTTAATTTAGTAGTCGACCTAATTATTGGAATGGTTTTTATAGTGGCTTCATATAAGTTGAAACCTTTTAGAATACATAAGAGACATATTTCTCTACCATTAGGCGTTTATTTTACTCAAATCTACAGTTTTCAAACAGCTTCCAAAAATCATAAACTTAAAAAAATTATGTAATGTTTTTAAATATTTTTGGTGTTTAAAATTAGCATCTGGAATCCTGTAGTTAAAACTTTCTCTTTAGACTTTTCACAAATTTAAGCAAAAAATTATTTTTCAACTTACACAAAAAAGCGGAATGTCCATTTAATTAAATTATTTATCAAACCCTCTATATAATTTAAACAAACTTCAGTAGATGACTATTTACAATATTTCATATAAAAAATCTTAATTTATAAAAATAAATCTCTGGTTTCTATAGTGATATGAAACTATTTAAGTTGAGTAGGCGTATTTATGCTACAGACAAATGAATTCTTGCATGTGTATAGTATCTTCGAGACCTAGTATTTCATCTTGTATCGGTTTACTTCTGCTGAGGCAAATAGGGGGTCTACACATAATGTGTAGTAAGTAATGTTTCAATACAGGATGCTTAGTAGTAATTTGTGCAGCATTTTCACATCAGCATAAAGATCTACATTTAAATTCTACATCAACTTTCATTTGTCTGCAGCATAAAAACGCCCTAAGAGTGAAAAATCATCTTATTATTTAGTCTATTAGTTGAAGAGTTCAATTCTGAAAAGGGACACATTTATGTGTAGTCTCAACCAACTAGTAAATCAAATACTCAAGATGATTATCTCTAATATAATAATTTTGGATATTTAAATCACAACCATATTAAATATACAGAAGCAACAAGGCTATTTAGATTTGTAAGTAGACATTTCTAAAGGCTATACAAGAAACACTTTATACTGGCAACAAACAAAAAGAAACTTATACCACAGACACAGGTGTTTCCCAATGAGAAAATAACTTCAATATATGTCAATGTTATCAACCTGGTACCAGTGAATGTAAGGAATTTGAAAGCATTGAAACCATAACTTTAAAGGGCTAACTGAGACTTTTCCGAAAGATGTTCTGTGATCAATCACATACATGTTATTTTCGTTTTCTGATATATACATCCCCCTGTTCATAGTCTCTTTATCAGTTCTTCTGATAAATAATAGAATACATAGTATTATAATGATGATACATTGGTTAGGAATGAATAATAAGTGGAATAGTTGAAATAAACATACAAAAATAAATTTACCAGCAGATTGTCAGTAAAAAATATACATAATTCTAGGCTACAGAGTTTTCAAGATTAATTAGCCTATTGCAAAGCATTGTTTTAACAGCATATGGTAATGAGGTCTATTTTTAGCATATTGAAATATATTGTTAAACAAATTCTTAAGTGGTTTTCAACACAAGTGTGAACTTGATTTGCAACTCTATATTAAAATGTATGATGGTGGTTTAGTTATATCCTAATTAGAGCTTGTCAGAATGGATTACAATGCCTGCTATACATAATTTACAAAGAATTTCGGAACAGTTATGTCAATGGGGATATTTTTTATTTATATTACATAGTAACTGGTTTCTTATATAGAAATCTTATTGACACAGAACAGATCAATTTCTAATTGTTTCAAAAAATAGTGATAGTTCTAAATTTTCCATAGAACCTTTCATTTCAAGAGAAGATGATAGGACTGTAGTTTTAATTCAGACAAACATACAACAATTAAAGTAGAAAGGTCAAAACCTTGTAAGTAATCCTATTGTTTAATCAGCCAACAAATATGTACAAAGCCATCCGACTGATTTGCCTCGTGACCTACTGGTACAATTAAAATGACAAAAGATTATTGAGAAGATGACATATTCATAACATACTATATTATTTTGAGGTAGAATAAATAGTATGTGAAACTATACAGAATTATAAATTATTACTTTATTCAAAAAGAACTTCTCTGCTCCTGTTTGCATTTTGCATACCTGGCTTTATACAAATTACAAGATTTAGTGAACTATGGAAGAAAAGAGGACCAAAAACCCTTCAACTTTAAATGGTAGATAGGTAAAATGTTGGCTGATTTCTGACAAGCTCTTTAAATGAATTTCACCTCTTAGAATGAACATAAAATTTAAATTCTCCAACTTGGCCAATAGTCTTATATATAATATATATTCATCAATGTTTTTGTTTATTCCAAGAGGTAGTATTCCTATAACAATCTAATACTAATTAAAGATATTTAAATCTATTTATATTATTGCAATGAACACAAGAATTACCAGACCCCTACTGTTTATTAACTGTTGTGTAATATCAACCTTCCTGCTGGTTATTATTGTTTCTAACAACACTCCTGTTTTACAGCTTTTAATATAACATTAGTTTGAAACACCAAGTAGTTGGCACTCATAAATACATTCTGATTCCTGTAATTATAAAAGACATGTACATGATTATAGAAAGTTTTAAGTTTTCAAGCTCATTTAAAATGAGCTGTGTTTATTTTCCAGTGATAATCAGATAAACATTCAATTTTCATATCTACATTTGCCAAAATAATATAAACATGTAAAGATAGTATGGGCAATATTTTCTTACTTATCTAGTTGCATTTATCTCATTTCATTACATATTGTTGATTTTATATATGACTATTGCAGTGAAAAACTGTGAATAGTGCCACTTTTTAGACCACCTGGTGCCATGCCCAAACTAGATTTGCAAGGGTAGCATCCTTATAAGAGTCAACACAGGTAGAACTACTTATAATATGCAAATGGGTTTGTCAGCAGTTCTTTTAGAGAGTCCACATACATGTTACTAGATATTTAGTATATTCATCTGTATTATTTGGCACACTAGTTACAATTACAGTCAACAAATAACATCCATAGGCCTCGTGATAATATAGGAGTATCAAAATAAATATAATCTAATAACCATTGAAAGTGAGAAATATAAACTTACTGATTTGTGTCTCTAAAATATTCTTTTAAAGTATTGCTAAACTTTTTAGAATATCTCACAAATTCTCTTTTTCTTTCTTCCAGAATCTACAATATAAATAAAATCTCTTGTTTACATCAAATCAATTTACATCCCAACAAATATGGTTTTGATTACAAATACACTAAATTTGGTGGGCAGCAATGCTTACCAGTGAACTCTTTAAATGAGAGGATGTGTAGAAAACCCATTAGCAAAGTGGTTTCAACAGAATTGGTAATTGGACTGTCCAATTCCCTAAGCTCATATCAGATCAAATGTAAAATCCTTTGACTACTGTTTCCATTATTTTTGAAAGATTTGTCCTCTCAAGATAATAATACAATTAAAGAATTGTATTACCTGTTTGCTGCCATTATCTGAATTGGGGACTTCAGCAATAACTTTATTAACAGCATCCAGTAGTTTCTTTATAGAATTAGCTATTTCTCTGAAATTTACAACAAATTACCTTCAGGATTTAATATTGTTTTATATATGAACAATATAAAAAGTTCATAGGCTGACTTGGAAGGAGTTATGCTGATACTGATGGCATTGTTTCTCTTCAGATCAACTGTCTTTGATAAGTAGAACCAAACGAAATGAAATGAAATGAATGGAGTTTTACATCCTACTTTTCTGCACCATGTGGGCTAATGAAGACGGGCTATGCCTTGCAGGGTGGAATGAGCGTGCTCTTTTTCCATCTGTCGAGGGATCTTTAACGTGCACAGCCTGTAGCATAAGGGCCTCGTTTTATTGTCCAATCCGAGCGACTAGACGCTTTTTCCATGCCAGCCCCTCTTACTTGAATCACTGACAGGGGGGAACCCCGTTGAAAAATCTGAAGGTATAATAACAACCTATGCCGGGATTGATCCCTGGACCTTCAGGTTAGCGAGGCAGCCATCTAACTCACTGAGCCACCATGGTTCCCGATAAGTAGAACCAAAGACACCATGAAAACATAAATAATAGCTTACTTGATAGTTTCTAGAAACTGTTTTCTATCATAAATCTGATCTGGTATTTTACTTAATACATGTTTTAATTCATTAGAACATGAATTTAATTCCTGAAATCTGGATTCTTGACGAGGAATGCGGAAGTCTGAAAAAAAAAAACTGAATTTTAAACTGGGAAATAGAGAAGGTTATGTCACTTAACTATTGAAAAGTACAAACTCAAAAGCTGTGAGATCTTTAAATACTCTAATTTGATTTGTGAATCAAATAATATGATAACAGACTGGAGGATGCAAGGGTTTTGGGGTTTTGAGGTACAAAAGTTCAAAAATACTTTTTACAAAGGAAATAAAGTTTTATGTCCTACTTTTCTGCACCTGTTTGGGCTGATGAGAACACGCAAAATCATGAAGTCTGAAATCAGGTAAATGTTGCCAGGACAACTCCTTTTCAATTTCTAACCATCATGGCATTTTGACCTGTAGTACGTGGGGCCTTGTTTATTGTCCCATCTGAACGACTTGACTCTTTTTCTACGTCAAGATTTATATACTTAACAAACCCAAAGAACATCATTGAACCTGTAAGCTTTCTATTCTAATACTTCTATAGCAAATTATCTTTGCAATGGACTATAACACATGTTGAATCCATAATCATAAGACAAAATATAATTTTTAGAAAGGAATTTCAACATACCATCAGTATCTAATTGACCACCCAGTCTTAATAAAGTTTCACAAACATCAATTTTATCACTTATATCACCTTTTCTTAATAATTCACGTAAAAAATCAAATGTTAAACCAGGTAATGATCCCTCAGCCTTTAAAAAGAAAATGTTCAATATGATTGGTATGTTTAATGTAATGGAAAACCAACGTAATTGCAAAACACAACAAAATATAACATATACCCTCAAATACAAATAGCCCTACTTCGAGGCATCTAAGGATATTCCCTCCACTTACTATGAGTGGCATACAAAAGAAGCCATAAACAATTGCAAATGAGGTAATAGAAATAGAAAGTGATGAATTCAATACAATTAAAGCTTGAGTTGAACCATTGATACATTCAATAGAGATAAGCAAGCTCACCTTTGCAAAAGCAGATTTCAATGTATTGGCAGCAGATATATCCTTTTTCTCCAACTAAAAATAACAAGATAAGATATACTATAATACAGTCAGTCAAAAAATCCCAAGATCTCAAATTAGTTGTGAAATCACTATCACATTTCAGAATGAAAAAATCTAAGTTATGAGTCATACCAAGCTCATTGATATGTAAATTTATATTTGATATAGCTAAGGTCTGGATCTATTGTCATCAATGTATATTGATTGATAATATTAACATATTTACCTTTTCCAGTATAGGACCAATCACCACATCCACTATCAATTTAGCATATAATGATTTATCCCCCATGGTCATATTGGGTGGTTTAATGTTTTAAATAAAGTATGTAAAAGGTTTCTTTGATCCAATCAATATGCCATCTGAAAAATAATATCTAAGCTTATAAAATCAAATTAACTACAGTACCAAATCACATTTATTAGATATTAGTAAGCCTGCAGTCTTCACACTCTGTAAATCAAATTTTACAAAAACTAACCTATAAATAGGCTAATAGACATAACATCACCAAATTATGAACGAAAGTGTTGATCAAGAATAAACAGTAGACACATATCACCTTTGAGAATTTTATGTACCTGTGCGATGTAAGTTTCAATTCTAAATATATCTAAAAGGGCAGTGTAAAATCTGTTTTCTGGGTGAAATACCATAAACACATGACATAACTTCTTCATTCAATGGAACCAATTTCAAAATTATGATGGCAAATTGACGTATTATCAATGATAATTTCTCTAATGATAATTTCTAATTGTAATAAATATTGTCCAATGAGTAACAAAACTATTTGTTTATGGTCTACATGTAGTTAAAGTAAAAAAGCAGAGGAACTTAGGTTAGGTTTAGGTACAATTTATTTAATTTAGTTGTTCAGTACCGGTAACCAACTAAACGAGGGTTGGTCTATCATTGTGAACAGTAACAATTCAACATTTGATCAAATTGACTGCAAATTAAGAATTGGAAATGGATGCAGTCTAACTACAATTAGTTCAATCTTCCCAATATTTGGAATGTTCAATGTTGACATTTGGATTTGGGTTAACAATGTCAATGTTGTCCCTTTTTTAGTTTTGACCGAGTTGGCTAAAGATTTATAGAGTCTAGTAACTTATACATCAAATCCAAAGTGGTCTTGAACTACAGCGTATATTTACAGTACAGAAAACATTCGAAAAGTAAACTATTGTTACCAGAATATTGTAAGAAAACCAGAGAAGTTAAAGTTTATTTAGTAACTCCTTAATCCTTAATCCGGAAATTGACACTGCCTACGTCATTAAAGTTGTCGTATTCGCTTATCAAACGCGGACCTGAATAACTCGCACTTGCTGGGGGAGTCTGTTATTACAGACCACACTTATTGAATGTGTTAAAAACTTTCCAAATCAGTTAAATCAAGAAGTGTGTCAGATTGTTGTGGTCATTCTTATTTCACAGATTTTCAGTATAAAATGGATTCAATTTACATTTGTAATGATTCTACAAAACACGGTTTTAAAAAAAAATTTAATTACAAAACAACAAACCAAGTTTAACACGAGTAATGATATGATTGATAAACAATACATCATTCAGTCGATAGTGGTGTTTCCGACACCTCTTAAATCAGTTTAGATTACGACACTTAGAAGAGTTTTCGGGTTTTTGACAGTTTAAAGGTATATAAAATCAATAACTTGAGTTTTTAAATTCAATTAAATCGTATCTGCAAGTTAGGTTATAAAGAAAAACAGTGGTAGATTAGCTGTGTATTAAAAAGCAACTCTCGGATAATTGTGTGGGTAATGTCGGCATTTATTAGTTCTCCGAAAAAATTAATTATCTGATCCTAGGCAGATTTCATTAGTTATATCAAATAAATTCCTCAAAACACATTGTTCTGCTCTTCATATTTCAAGACCAATGTAGTGGTGATGTTAATTAAATGCTTGCTAAGTCTGATATGTTTTTATCACTCGTGTTGTGGTTGCAGTGGCACTGAAAAGCCCTCTTTCCCTTGGCTAATAAGCACTTAACTCACTACAGAATCACATTGAAGTCTGTCATTTTTGTAGGTAGAAATGTAGGATAATTATAATTCTTTGATTGTATGGATTCAAAGACAAATGGCATATATATTTTGAATATTTCTGAAATAATGACAGAAAAATTTCTGTTATGAGCTCAGTGTAGTCAGAAGGAAGATCTCATTATTATTATTGTCTTTCCCCTATTAATCTTGTAAAACATGAATTGATCATTTACATTTAAAATATTGTTTGGGTTTTACAGAGCGTGAATGTTACATAATCTTACTTTGTTATTCAGATTGAATGAAAGAAGATAAAGAAATATGAATGATAATACACGAAATATGCGTGACTTTCTGTTGCTGTATAATCAGTTAACAGAACAGTGTTTTGATCGTTGTGTATATAACATGAGTAGAAACAGTGTTTCTAACAGAGAAAATGACTGTATTTCAATGTGTGCAGATAGATATGTAGCGTTTAATCAGAAAACTATGCATGTATTTGTGGAATATCAGAATATGAAACAGCAAGTAGCTCTCAATGCACAGTCCTCACCTGGTACCAGTGGAACTGTGGCATGAAGTTATTTTAGCTAATGTTTGAACTCTTGAATATAACATTCTACAGGAATTTAGTGACTGTAATCAGATGGGTGCTCTATTCAAAATGAATAACCATAATATTTCATTTAAACATACTAAGCACAGGTCTTCCAAAAGAAATACAAAGTAGTTTTATGGAGATGAAGGCCTGTAAAATGTTAATTCTGTATGAAGTTTGTAGAAATTGTATAAACTGTAAACGTAACAAATGATCATTTTTGATAAATAAATGTTTTTACCAGCAAATAGAACTCATTTGAAGATTCTTGTATGACTTTTAAGATTAAAATTTATATATGGCATCTTTATACAACAATTAAAATTGTTACCGGTATGTTATTTTCACCTTATGGGTTGGTACACAACACATTTAGAAGTGCCATATGAGAATGTTGATTGCAGGGGATTGCAAAGCTGATGTCATATTGTTCTAGAATTGCATCAAAATAATCCACAATATATTCTTTAAAGGGATTGTCATGAGGTTTTTCTAAATTCTTTATGTACCGTATCATCAATTTGCACCATTCCAATTTTCAGTCAGACATCTGTGGTTCCTGCAATTCCAACATGTGTTTGATGACGTCCCTAATAGCAAGGGGCCTTATGTGATATAAGCATATTTCGTGTTTAGTGACATCAACAAACACTTATTTTTTAACAACCAAATTGTAGTTTCATATTAAGAAAAAATAAGATATCCATACAGATCACACTCGGAATTAGGTGCCACAGGTTAGAATCCTACTCAACATTAGCAAAATTCTAATGTCATGTATATATGAACATCTCTTTGAAAGGGTTAATGTAAGACGTCAAACTCCATTCATTCATTTTGAAGGGGTTACCAACTTTCAAACTGTGTAATGTCATGGAGAAATGGCATACGAAACTATGTATGGTTCTGACATGGAAATAACACACAAGAACAGTTGAACTTTTATATCACTATAATATGTCAACTAAGCCTTCAAATTGCATTCAAAAGCTTTAAATATGATTCTTGGGCTTTGTCAAGTCGATATAGAGATTCTAAATGATTGTGAACTATGTTAGTGTGTGTTATTTCCATGTAGGAATCATACGTAGTTTTTTACACGCCCACACAAATAGTATGGACATATATTGTAAAAGTCTGTCAGTCCGTCCATTCATATTTGGCTTGTGCTAACTTTACAGGCTACAATTCTTTATGGATTCTTTTGATTTTTATTTTGTGGGTCAATGTCAGTATGAAGATGATCAATATTGCTTTTGGTGATGATCTGATAATTTTTCACTGAAATTTTCAATTTAGAGTATTTACTCTATTAGCCGTATAGTACAATTTTGCCCACTAAACAACAATTCTTTATGGATTCTTTTGATTTTAATATGAACACACGTAGTATCTAAACTTATTGTCATCTGTCCGTCTGTTCACACTTGGCTTGTGTTCACTCTGCAGGCTACAAACAATGATTTGTACTTGCAATCAAAGCTACTGGTGAGCGTATGTCACCTTGCTTTGGAAGGCTAACTTTATAGGAGAATTGAAGGTTCTGGAGCATAAGTTATCAAGGCCACATGAAAAAGGAGGGACTTCAACACCCCTACATAAAACAAAAATATATATATATGAAACTATTATTTAATATTCAAATTTCAATCAAAAGAATCATTAATTTGTGAATAATTATGCAAAGATAAAAAATATTTTATAACGGAATGTAGAATCACAGATAAAAAGCACTATTTAAAATATTTCAAAAAAGAAGACATTAAAAACATTATCACATTATAAGGGGTCAAATGACTTTAGAAGTGGCCAAAACTGCCCACATGTAAACTTAACCTAACAATAAGTAGATACTCACCAAAAGTCTTATAATGAAGCATTAAGTTTTAAAAAATAATAATTTTACAGTTTTGGTTCACAACTGAAGTTAAAAGGCTCAGTTCATGATTTCAAGGCAACAGTGAGACTTTTCAATTGCTATAATTACCTGAAATGCTGGGGGCACACAAACGGTCCTCGTCACAAATTTTTGTTACCTACTAAGAGTCTTGTAAAGAGTTTCACTGAACGGCTGAAGATACACAAGGTGACAAAAATTATTCAGTCGTTTGTTTTCCACTATTTCGATAATCATGTGATGATCATTTGATTGAATTAAAAATTGCAGCTGTTACTAACAAACTGCTTGCTTCGCCGATTTATATTTTGATCAAACAATAAAGAAAGACGAAGAATAGATAGGAAAATTGTAAATAAAAATTAAACGCCTGATTGAATGTGTGGAGACTTTTCGCGTCGTAAATGCAGACATAATAAGAAAACAATTTCCGATGATGAAACAATCGCTGACAGATATCAAACTGCTTTGATGTTATAAACCTTGTCTGTTCATATGCCCCTAGCATGAGGAAGTATTCAGTTTTACAGTGATGTTTATACCCTATACCTTACTATAATAAGCTATTAAACTCAGGTAATTTTCTAAATGCAAGTACAAATTTGAAGCAAATAAAAGCATTTTCATAGTTAGGAGCTTTTGATATAAAACAAATTCTATTGCATTTATAAAAGTATATATATTAATAAAACATTTTGCTGTTACAATTTCAACAGTTAAAAAAGACACTGCACTACAAAGTGGCTATTTGGCCATCAACCTTCAAGCAACATATTCTGTATTTTACCACAAGTAAGGACCAAACAATCCTCTACTATAATAAGGTGATCTATTCATGTATACCACTTGTTGTGGTGCTGCATTAACTACTGTAGTCCCTCCTGGTATGCATGTAACTGAAATTAAATATTATACAATAAGTTTTACTATCTCTTTCACTAAAATGGTTTCAATCATGTTTAATGTTTGATACAAAAATGTGCCACATCAAACAAATAAACCAAATAAGACCAAGACCAAAAGGCATAATCATGCATATCGTCTTAAATTACTTGAACAAATTTCAACTAGAACATAAAGAGCGAGAGGTCATCCCACACCCCACACAGCATCCCAGATGCTGACATCAAGTGTTTGTGGACAGTGTTTATCCGAAGCTCAAGTCAATAAGTCTGAGTCAACACTGGTGTTAACACTTGGGAATCTCCATCACTGATTCATACTTACCCCCTAACCTCTCCTTCGATGCAAAAGAAGGAGAGTTTCTGAAAAGCGTTCTTGGAGAAAATGGGAGTTATAACAACTAGTAGGAACTAACCAGATGGTTGAGCCGGTATCACAGTGACACCTGGTGTAGTTAAAACACGTCCAGGATAACCAGAATAACAACCACTATAACCACCATAACCACCATAAACACCAGGTCCAGAAATAACAGTTGTTGAAGTCAGTGGTCGGTTAATTATAGTTGCATTTCCTACAGCATGTACACTTTGTTGAGGAGATGGACCATATGCTGTTCTTGCTTCATCTAATGCTATGTGCCATGCTCTATAAGAATAAAAGGTGGTTACCTTTGGCAAAAAATTTCTTTTAATATGAAAAATAACGCTCATATATCACGATACCAATTATGATCTTTGGAACAGATGAACAGACATTTTGGACCAAAACACTAGCAATTGAAAACAATTGCATGAGATTATGATTCTTTTGCTACAAAATCAATTCAAATTTTATTCAATCCAGTCAAACATTTGTGATTTGGTACTATAAAGGCATATAGAAAAGAGTCTAACTTAATTAAGCCAACTAGAATTTATTAAAATCATCTTACTTCATATCATCGGGTGTTTCAGCACACAATGTCATGTGACTACCATTATTCATATCTAATATCATTACACTAGCTTTAGATAGATTATCAGGTAATGATACACTTCCACACTGTAAATATAACATGTTAATATAAGGATTTTCCTAGGAAACCCATGAATACTTTTGAAAAAATAATATTAAACGAGCTAGAGTTCCTTGAAAGTGAATCTTAATGTTACAGTTATCTGAATCTAAATGGGCTATACCAGCTGTCAAAGTTCAAATTCAGCTATCCATACCAATTTTGAGAATTAAAATTTGTTCAAAGTTCAATCCTCTTACAACTTTGCCACTTTTATTCTTTCTTAACATTTACACATTTGAGCAGTTATCACCAAGAGTGTCATTATGCCAGAATAGCTGTATATGAGAAGGCTAACATATGTAAGGGGCAACAGCTGAAATAGCACAGTAAATTTCTATTGTAGAAGAACTGGACTTCTGGTTTGAATACTGAAAAGTGATAAGGATAGTTGAAATTGAACTCTTTAAGATGGTAAATCAAATATTTCAGACAACTTAATCCATGTTATCAAAGAAAAACATGTAAAATAGACTTTGAAATACTAGTGTGTTATTCAAGTCTAAAGCAATAATAGTACTCACTTCAGCACCAGTTCTAATTTGTCTAACAACAGCTCTAACAACTAATCTTTCTTCTGCTACAGGGTGATCAGGTGTCTCAAAATATCTCAAATCACCCAATTTATCTAAAACAAACCACTGACTCTTCCATCGATGCAAAACAGAACCTAAAGAAAAGTTAATCATTGAGAATATACATAGTAAAATTGATTTGTCTTCATGATGGCTGTCTACATATTAAATATAAAGAAC